TCAAATCTATCACTTAATACCACACAATTTAAGAACAAGAGAACAATTGCAAAAATTTTAGATTTTAATAAAATTTGTCATAGAAAAAATAATACTTTAAAAAGCTAGCGCTAGTCAAATGCGCGTGCATAATTTTAGGCGAACAAAAACTTAAATTTGTAAATTACTTACATTTAGGAGATCTAGAATTTGTAACTGTTTCATATAAGCAAGACGTAGGAGAAGGAACCCTGTGTGCACATACATACATATGTAAGTACTGTATGTATGCTAGGAATTTCTAGAATTAATATAAAATAGTAGAAAGTAAATAAAAAATAAAATGCTAGAGTAGAGATGCGCCGAACAAAAAAAAAAGGAAAACAAAATCGTGCAAAATTCTTGGTAACGGCAACTTGGTGATAGACTTAAGAAATGCTTATCTACTTATTAGACATATGGAAAGAGCTGTTGGTGGAGTAAATATCTGTATGGAGTAGACAGTTTTTTTTTTTTAGTGATTTTAGGGCGTAAGTGATTTTTTTTTTATTATTATCTTATATACAATATTCTTTGTGAAATGTAAATAGGTATTCAGTTTAGTTTTGAAATTTTGCTTTATTTTTATTCAATACATATGTCAGAAAGCCTGCCTATACATACATAGATATAGACATTGAAATCAGATGTGGATTTGCCAGTTTTTAATGCTTCAAATAATCGATATGTATGTATTTGTAAGTATGCTTATTAATAGCCATGTTTAACGTTAAACCAATGTAAATTTTTGTAATATATGAATAAAGTAAAAAAAAAAAACAAAAAAAAAACCTAGCATATTATATAATTGTTTATATTCGCTTGTGTTATACGCATTTTACGCAAAACAAACGCGCTTGAAAGTATTGAGACTTTTATATAGAACACAGGTGAGTGCTGAGGAGATTAAGCTTATGATTTCTTATCAGTTTTTAGTTCTGTTATTATTTGTTAAGTGGGAATTTCCTGTCAAACTCACAATTCCTGGACGTTATTATTGCATTAAAAAATTTTCGTCGTTAGGGTTGCATTAGGGTTGTATTAAAACATTTTTCTCAATGTACGCGAAAGCTCTATGAAGTAAGCTCCGTCTTAAGCGGTATGCATACTTTCAACTCATAGGCCATTCACACTTTGTCCAAATCGTGCACAAGTGGTAAGCAACCAGGAATAAAATATAGATAAGATTCAAACCCTGGTGTACTTTGTATTGAATCATTGCCTTTTTTATTCACACAAATTACGAAATTTGGTCTCAGATTTTTAGACCACAGTCATTGAAAATTTGAGCAATATCAGAGAAAGTGTTAACAGGAATTAGAAGCTGCATCTTGGTTAGGAGATCCATGGTGCCCCACTGGGTCCAATGAGGGCGGCCCGTTGTGCTCGGCCTCGATTTTAAGGGCCATCTCTTCCATTTATTCATTCTGTTAAGGACTTATTTTTATTAGTTGTTTTGTTACATAAACCCCTAATTTATTCATATTCCAGATTTTCCCTACTGATCTGCGCCTTCACTCAGAAATTCTCGATAAAAGCCTCAAAACTTTTATACAAATATATGTAACATAATCTTAATAATGGCGCTTTGTTTTCCTAATGTTCATGAAAAGCAATAATAATTGATCGGATAATATATATATATATATATAGTAACAAATACAGCAACAAGAACAACAATGAGAAATCAATGTGAATTTTACCTGCTAATAGTGAGATATATATAGTTATATACCTAAAAAAAAAAATTTAATAAAAAAGTATAAAGATTTAAGCGAAAGTAAACTACTTACTTAATTTAAGTAAAACTATAATATTTTAATTAGTATAATACACTAAACAACTTAAAAAAATATGTATTGTAAAGTACTAAGAGGCAGAATAAGAATGCAGCTGGAATATGAATTTCCGATTTGACTTCTGTAATTTTTCAATAACAAAGAAGAGTTCGCAGTTTGGTTTTGGGTGTGACGCCAAATGATTGTTGGGCTCATACAGAAAGTTGTCTACATATATTCATTTTGAGCTTTATCACTAAAAATTGGGGAAAAAATAGAGATTTTAAAATTTCTTTGACCATTACTTTTCGATGTTGATCACGTTAGCATGTGAATCAGTTTTATAAGTTCAAAAAAATAAAAAAATACTTTTCCTACTTCCTAGGCCAATTTGCTCAAAAACTTCGAAATCATCTGCTATCAAAATTGAGCATCGTAATCTTCATAAAAAATATAAAAATCTTATCGCAGTCAAAAATGTACAAGCAAGACTTGTGGAAAATATGTGCATTCATATGAATAATATTATTTCATTTAAAATTTGGTGAGGAGGCTAATGGCCCCAGAGGATTTAAATCCACTTCCATGGGTCTATTCTGTCCATTGCCGATGACTTTACCGCAATTCTAGGTACGTTGGTAATGCAATTAAAATTATAATAATATGAAGGTTATGAGATAGTAACAAAATTTACCGGTTACAAGAGTTCACAGAATATGAAAAGAGTTTAAAAATTTACGGGAACTTTATTTATCGGTGACAAAAATTTTCGTAAAATTTCGAAATATGCAGTATGCATATTGACTGATTTGAATTGATCCTTCAAATGTGTGTGGCATCATTTGCCAGATTAACATTAAATTCTTTCAATGCCATTCACATTTTTCTGTATCAACACAATTCATTTCTAATTTTCTACTCGCTCAAGAATAAATAACAAATAATGCTTTCTCATTTTCGCTTTACTTTAACTAACACACATAAAACATACCTAAATGCTTTCACAAACTGTCCAATATGTAATTGAAATTATCTATACTGCTTATTTATAGAGATAAACAAAATTTAAGTATGTGAGTAAAGTGAGTGAGTGTATAAATGAATGAATGCGTCTAAGGTTTAAGTATGTATAATTTTAGTAGTGTGAAGAGAGAAATTATAAAATATTATACATACATAAATAGAAAAGTAGTTTCAAAACTAATAATGTTCTAATTTTAAGTTAAATTTCTACAAATTGTTCTCTAAAAATATACAATTGTAATATATTAAAATTATGTGAAATGTTTTGTATGACAATCACATGATGATGATGGAAATAATGATTAGATAATGAGTACTTAAAACGTGGCAGAAGGTCGGAAAAACAAAAACGATAGCACATTTGTTGATGGGCAATTAAAAAAGAAAAATACTATGTTATTCCAAGTTAATCTACAGCGCCAGTTGAATAAGGCTAAAATAACTTGTGTGAAAAAAATACATATTTTGATTTTCAAAATAACCCTTGGATTGTTTGCATTGCAAAACTTATTTCAGTTAAACTTCTAAAAAGAAAAGGGACCGAAAAGATATTGCGAATAACTGTGGAAATATATCCAATAATTTATCGAATTCCATGGCTCAAAGGAAAACAAAGTTATGAAGATATTTTTGAGAGAAACTACAAAAATTCGCATGCAGTTTGTTCATTAAAAATTTAGTAATAATACAGATAACAATTAATGATGCTAAATAAATAAATAAATACAAGAGCTAAAATTAATTAAACTTTAATTAGTTGATAAATAAGTACCGAAAGATTTATAAGTAATTATATAAATATAATGAATAATAACTAAAAAGGAAGAAAAATATATAATACAAATCTTGTAATTAAAATGAAAGTAAATAAATGTGATAAGATTCTTAAAAAATTAATTGTGTTGTTATTTCAAGAGTTTATGCGAACACGAAAGGAACAGTTGGTTTTAAAGAGGTAAGTTATTATAAAAATTTATAGTAAAAATGAAAAAAAAAGAGACTCTGCTTCAATATGGTTATAATTTTAGTACTAGGTGAAGACAATGAACACAGAAAACTCGCCTAGTTATTCATTTACGCTGGTTCCAAGTGAGACAAAAATAAAAAAGTAAAGAAAAAATAAAAAATAAAAAAAAACTTGTCTCCAAACCAAGCTCGAGAAGGGATGACGAAAAATTAAACAACACCAATTTCCAAACATTTACTTCCATAATAATTAGTGGGAGCACCACCCAACCACCGCCGTTCTAACTAATAAAACGCCGTGTTTAACTAACAAAACTACACTAAATTACGTATGTATGTGAGTTTATGAACGTCTTAGAAGTTCAGTTTGCAAGTGCCGATTTTTAAATGTAAACATTATAATCTGTACTTGTCTAATGGTTTTGCGAGTATAACTATATACATTAGGGTTGTCCTTAAAATATCAACATCATGAGGCACCCCTTTATTTTGTTTTATTTAAAAAATAAAGACATCAAAGAAAATTAAAAAACTTTTAAAAAAAACCTTTTGGGTCGCCACCATCGTTTGAAAAAATTAAATTTTTTTAATCCTTAAAAATTTCACAAAATGTTTGATTTTACCAGTTGTAACGAGTGTATGCATTTTATATGAATAATAGGCCCGTCAGAATCGATACTTGTACGTCAATAACGGAAAAGCATGCGAAGTAAGTGGCGCACGCAACGTAGTGATACGCCACAATGAAGGTGTTGCGTCTGCAAACAAAAATCAGCTGTTCTTTATGGCCGCGTACTTGGTTTTACGCAAGTCACTTTTGCAGATACAATAGCAAAAAATTCAAATTTTTTTACTAATATGTTCACACTTCTCTTGATGTCTTCGGCACTGTCTTTGGCTTTTCGCAAACACAATGTGAAAATTAATACATATTCCCAATACAACTATCCGCAGTGACGTACTTATGTGCGTCAAACGTTGAGTGTTGGCCAATGTTCGTTGGGTCCGTCGACGCGAGGCTTGCCAATCTAAAGCTCTCTATGAAAACACACATAGTCTACTCAATTGTCAGTTTCATCCTTGAGCGAAACGTATGCAAAGTACCAATTCTGACGCGGCCATTAGTTTCAATAATGTCTTACATTTTTTAGTTTAAGTATTCAAGTAAATTATTTGTAGAACTTTTTTTGGGATCTTAAAAAAATTTTAATTTTTTTAAATCCTAGTAGACCATGGAAAAAATTTCTATAAAATTATAAAATTTCCGCGAATGTTTTTATTTTCTACGTAAAACAAAAGCGATGTTTATATTTTTGAGGACCACCCTAATATACATATATGTACATATAATTACGGTTTTTTACATCGAAAAAAAATATATAGCCATAAATTCTTGAATTGCGGTTTCTGTAGGGTTTCAAAAAGAATTTCATTTTATGTAGATTCTTCAATCATTGTGAAATTTGGTAAGAGACAATTCGGTTACAGATCCAAAACAAAAAATCATGAGCTGCCTCCTCGTATTGCAAAAAGCTTTGAAATTGATTTTTTCTTCCCAAATTATCCTGTTAATATTCAATAAACTGCTTTTATTGGGTATGCTGCTAAAGTGACAATCCATGGGCAGTAATAAAAATGCGTCGTACCGGAAGCTTGGACCTGACTGTCGTGGGCCGTTAACGGAAGTACTGCAATAACATCAAGATTTAGCACTAAGATTATGACTAAAAGTGAAAGAAAATTAATTTTAAATTTGTCGCTTTAGTAAAACTTCCCTAACATTTTGCCTATGTACATACATCAGATGCTAGGTGCGACCTCCACACTTAACGGAGGGTTAAATATAATTACATAATTAGATATTTTGAAGTATATTTCCATTTTCAAAGATATTGCAATTTTCAAACTAATTTGCTCAAAATTAATATTCGTAAAATTTAATACCCTTGAACAACTAAAACTCAAGCGAAATCCCGTTTCATTTGCGATCTTTTTCCCGCAACTACCCACAGCAAAATACTTAACCAATACTTATGCTGTTGTTAAAGGGAATCGTTTTATTTTATTTGAGAATTCCTTAATTAACAACACCAACAATGAAATTCTAATGGCAGCCGAAAATGTCAAGTATACAAACAAAATTCGAATTCGCTTGGAAATTTCAGTATCAATTACAAAACCGCATACCCGCACAAATGCAAGCAACAAAAGGCAGCTGGTAGAGTGGTGAAATTGTGTGCGGATATTAGCGTGTGCGCAGGGGGGGAGGTAAAAAGCCCAACCAAGGCAGAGGCAGGAGAAGGTGCCGTTGGCGCTTTTTCATCAGCAATTAATGCTGTATTTTTGCGAGTGCCTACAGCCACAGTCGCAGCCACAGCGGCAGCCACCATAACCACCAACGTCGATGCAGGAAAACAACAATAAGAACGCCACAATCACTGCCAATGCCAAGTACATGTCGCAGACACACACGACTACAGCAGTTCCATTGAAGAGACGGAATGCTGGCAACTAACTCATTCGCTCAATGTTGCCACTCTCCAACTCCCAACTCTCAACCAGCATTGCCGTTTTGCTCAAATTTAAGAAAGATTGATAAATTTTTTCCTGCCTGTTAAAATGTTAAATTTTTCTTCGCTTTCCTAAATATTTTGATTAAAATATTCAAAAAGGATAATTTTCTTTAAAAATTCATTTCTGACTATGAGTCCAATTTCAATCAATTTTTAAATTTTATTTTAGGATCTCGTATAAAGTTCCAGGAAATATTTCTCTACGCAACTCCCGATCCGCGGCCGTCGCATTTTCAAACCTGAAAGTGTTCTTCTGCCACAAAATCGTTTCTCATAAAAACCACTTGCAGTTCAGAGACGACCTTAGGCCCCTTCATTTGCTTGACAAACTCGTTTTATGCATGCATTCAAAAAAGAAGCGAATGGGCAGCTACCTATTATGGGAGTATATGTTGAAAGGTTGAAAAAAATGTGTAGGTAATAGTTTTCAAATTAAGCAACTGTTAGACTATAAAATCCCTACTTTTGACCACAAAATTGCCTTGACTTACTTGCTTGATTATTTTTTTTTATTTCTATAACCAATTTACCAAGCTTGGTAAGAAAAGCCTCAATTAATTAAATAAGCTGCCTAATTTTTACGAGATTTGATACTTTTTTTTAACGATTTTGGTAAATTTAATTTTTCGGCCGTGGCAACACTGCTCCCAACTCCTCTCCATTCACTTGGCAACAACATTTCAAACATATTCATTTTCCTTTACTATTACTTCTCACAACAATAGTTGATTTGTTGTTGCTGTATATTTTAGTGTTGATTGTGTGTCGATTTCGAAATGCTGCAAATTACCGGCATTATTTCTTGTAATTAAGCATTAAACTTTTCGCACAGCACTTCCGTCTGTGGGTCGAGCAGCACCTACTAAGTGTGTATGTATGTATGTATGTATATAGTGTTACATTCACCCTCTTCTTCTTGCTTTTCCGGTTAAGACTTTTCTCTTTCTCAGATTTACAACATTGTGAAAGTGAAGTGAACGTGATGAATACATTTTAAGACGTTTCTCGAGAATTGATATGGAGAGAGTTGTAGAAATACATACAAGTAATTTACTGGCCCCGCAGGCCAAATTGTATTCATGTTGCCACTCAAAGAAAGCTTTCTGAGACTGCTGACATAACACTTGGTTCTAAAGGATTACACAAAGCTAAATCTACAATATTGTACATATACATATGCATAAATGTATGCATGTAGGGATATGGAAAAAAAGGGAAATAAAGATAGCATAAATATAATTGAAGTAGTGTTAATGCAATGAGTTTGGAAGTGTTGGATACATAGCTAGCAATAGGGTCTCACAAACAGGCTCCAGGCTATATTTTGAATAAAATTCTATTCTAATCAAATAGAACTACACAGCTGCACAAATTTTTTATGAAAATATCGACCATTAATACAAGAAAGCAAAAAGTTACATCATTTCGCATTGAATTTAAAATCTTTTGGAGATTAGAAGAGGGTAAATTGTTAATAGAATAAATTTGTCGGTGACATATTGAATTACTTAAAGTTAGTATTGGTGGCTAATTTATATAATAAGCTGTTAGTTTTAAGTTGCTGCCTTTACACTTAATTAGACGCATGGGATCACGGCCATTTCAAATTTAAAAAAAAAAAAAAAACATTTCTTGGTACAGATTTTTTAATTCCGATTTGAAGTCAAAGCTATGCTTTTTTTTAAGTTATAGATTATAGAGGACTTAAATATTTTTGATAATACACACTTCGTTTTATTTACATAATTCCTATACTCCTTTTTGAAAATTTTTATGGGGACCCCATGCTACTAATTTGGTGATTTTCACTATACGCCCGAATAAGGATTAATTGTCGGTTAAGTGACGAGTACAAAAAAGCACTAAATTTTCAAAGAACCTTTTTTTGGTGGAAAATGTCGAAAAAGAGAGAGAGAGAGAAAAAATGTGATAGATTTCAAAAAAATGTGGTAGATTTCTGGGTTTGGATCAAACTTTGTACAAAAATTAAAAAAATCCTCTACAAGGTTTCACCTAAATTGCAAACTTTTTAATTAGACTATAAAAAAAAATTTAGTTTTAGTATAATAAAGTGTAAGATTGAAGTGGCAAAACATTACGTTGAATTTTGGCATTTTTTTCTTTGACAGTGTAAAGCAGTTCCTTCCATATCAAGATATTTTTCGAACATATTTTAAGAGATTTCTGCAACCTTGTGGAGTGCTGCCAGCTTCTCTTTTTATCAC